AAAGAAGTTGAGACTGTATTCAGTGGCAATTGCCTTGGCCAATAATGTCTTTCCAGTTCCGGGTGGACCGTAGAATAGAATACCTGATCGCTTCTTCATACCCTTCGCAAACAGCTCAGGACGCTCAAGAGGTAGTTGAATGGTCTCAGTAACGGCTTCCTTGACGTTATTAAGACCACCAACATCATCCCAGGTAACATTGGGGATCTTGGGGGCACCAATGGAGTCGGAGAAGTTCTTGCGAGCAGCCTCAACAGCAATCTCAAAATCTCCCTTGGTGAGGCAGCGGGCAAGGGGACCACCGGCGACCTGCACATCCCGTACCGTGATAATCGTGTTATCATGCGTATTCTTGGCTGAGAGCTGCTCCAGTCGTGACTGTTGAGCGATAGAGGCACGCTCAACAACATCTACCAAGTCGCCAGCCACGAGCGCAGCGGTCTTGAGAGCGATTGAGTTGAGGTCGATCGAAGGTTCAAGGCTAACACCCCTATCGCTGATGATGGATTTCAGAATAGACTCACGCTCCGCCTCGTCAGGGGCTGTCATTTCCAGCTCGTGTGTAAACAAGGCTCGAACACCATCGGGCACTTTGTCAACCTCATTCGTTGTGGCAATCAAAACTCGTGTGTCTTCTAGAATCTCCTTGATCGTTGACTCAATGCGATCGGCAGTGAGGGCCTCGACGTGCTGAACAAGTAAAGCACAGCAATCGGGACCACAACTCATGGCACGCTCGGCTCTTGTCCTGAGAAAGCCTTCAGTTTTCACATCGCTTCCACTGCCGCTCCCCTCACTGAGAATATCATACGCGTCAATTTTATATGTATGAAGACCCATATCGGAACAAGCCCCTGACGCCAGAGTCAACTTTCCAATATTTCGATGTGTAGACGTTAACAGAATTGCGACAGGGGGCATCTTCAGATGAATCGCTCTAGCGCTAGTGGCTGCTGCGATCAACTCCCTCAACTGGCGTCTGAGAGGTGACACATAAGGCAACTCGGGTTCCTGAATTGGAGCTGGAGTTGACTCGGATGCCTTCTTGGGTGTCTTCTTGAGACCAAGATAATATTGCCATGTGCTCTGCTTGATACCTGGTATGCGACTTGTTTCGAAGCCTGAACCATGCATTGCAACAGATGAACTATCAATGCACGCAACTGATCCCCAGAAAGCCTCGGCAGTTCCATCTTCGTCCTCATCCGCTTTCTGGATTTGGATATGTCCAACCTTGAACCATGCTACGCTGTCGAACTTGGAGGGCTGCTTTCCTCCCTCCTGTCCACCAGCAGTGAGTGCCATCACGTCGTCCACTTCGGACCCTCCTGCGCCAGGCATCTCCTGAAGTGTACGGCCAAGCTCAGCGTCGACTGGGACAGCGATAAGATCGCCGCTTCGAACAAGGCGGATTTTCTGGGCGAAATACCGTTTGAGGCCACCCAGAACGGCGGTTTGGAAAGCTCGCTCTGCAGAGATAGGAGTTCGAATGTGGTGAATAGTAATATCTCGAGCGTAAGGGGGGCGAGCTGCACTTGTGAATCGAGGGATTGTCCCCTTGCCCTGATACGACGCCTTTTTCAAGGGCGCAAGACGCAGATAGGGTGCATCGTCAAGATTGGCTAAGAGGATAGGTGAGGCGTAGGCCGTGGGACTGGCAGGCCGCTGAATCTGGGATTCGAAGAACGACAATCTTCTCTCGCCATGTTTGGCGCTGGGTATTCTGGTCATTGGCCGTTGCGAGTACCCTTCGGGTAGACCATAGACTCGTACGGGTCGCCACTTGGCAGGCTCTGACTCAACTTGTCCAAAACTTCCGAGGCCAAATGCGCCGAACCCATTCGTAGGGGGTTCTTCTGCAGCTTCTATTCGTACCCAATCCCCAGAAAAACATCCGATACGGCTCAGCGATGTCACATCGACGTAGATTCGCGCTTCCTCATCGTCTTCTAAGGATGGCTTCGGATGCAAAAGGTCTGTCGGAATTTGTTCCATCAGACCCTGTGCTTTGAAGAGACGACCTCGGGGTCGGTCTGGTCGAGCAGTGGTCGCAGTGAAATTGGAGAAAACGGAGCCAGGCGTTGCGATTCCATTTGTTTTCCTGCCACGAAGTGTTCCAACTGTCATAGGCGTGCCTGGCTGGAGCGTTGATATACCGCTGGCATTGGTTGTTGGCAAGGTTGGTGCTTGCAAAGAAATCATATCGTCCATAGAATCGTCTGATAATTCGTCCTCGTTGTCGAAATCAGATATATCTGGCTCGGTTTCGGTCGCAGACTCCATATCCTCAGTCGTCATTCCTGACTTATCGCGATCCTCAGCTGCGGAATAGAACTGGTCGTTGCTGGTATCATCCTCATCCTCGGGAACACCATTAAGCTGCTGGCTGGCGCTCATGGAAGCAACGCGACGTATCTGCTTAGTATGGACACGACCGCGCATGAGAATAATTTTAGTTGACTCCGTTAAAACACCTTGGGCAACAGGCTCGCACAGCATGATCTTTCCAGGGTTCGGAGGCACATGTGTAAGAGGGTGCGGCGGAAGAGGAAGCGGAAATAAATCGCCAGCATGTACAACCTTCAGACTGCCCAGGGCAGCTCTGAGAGAAGTCACAAGACGCCCATCCGGTGTTGAATCCGCACCTTTCGTCTTGGAGCTGGCAGGGTGGTCTCGGAAGAAGGTACCCTCCCCATTCTCCAGCCTTTTCGTCAATTCACTCTCCAGGCTCACAAAGACGGTCTCGAGAGGAACGGGTGCCACGTCAAGCACGAGGATCTCGATTCCGCCGCGGCTGTGACTTGATAGCTTGGATGGCGCGACCTGCTGTAACGTCACGGCAAAGCTTTGTAAGGAAGCAGAAGACGGTGAGAATCGGACGGTCGAGGGCGCGAGTGCAGAAGACTCGATAATGGGTACAATTGACCACGGACTGTCGGTAGGGTTGGCATTGGGTATCCACGGAGCGATCGCAATGTGGTGAACGTCTTCGGTAGCACCTTGGTAGAGTTGAGCTAAGATTTCGTTCTAGTATTGACTTGTAATGAAAGATGTGCTTCACTTACCGTTACCTAGATGAGGGAAGAGATCTCGAAAGATGTCTTCGGATACTATGCCGACATCGCTCTTGATATGATCGTCGAGCACCAGTTTTGCCGTAAGGGCAGGCTTATCCTGGCGACGTCTGCGGTTCCTCCTCCTGTTTGAAGTTAAAGCTGGCTTTGAAGAGGACGCCATCTTGCGAAGAAGTCAAGCTTGAAGGAATGTGGTAAAGTTTGCGGAGGACGATATTGTTACAGGAAGCTCGAAGCGCAAACGCGGGGATCACTGCATCGCTCGGGGACTCCTTCAATTGGTAAAGTCGCAAGATCTGGACAAACAAACAAGAAACAGCAGTCTCGAGTATACAATTGCGCGTAAATAAAAAAAGAAACCCCAAGGGGATGAGGATGAAACTAAGGGACTGACTGTGAGGTTGAGATTAAGAAATTGGAGGTGGCTTCCATTGGAGCTCGGCAGCGGCTCAGAGCGACCGAAGCAGCAACAGTGGCCTGCCTCGGCTTCTCCCAGCTTTGACTAAGGTTGGTAGGTGCTAATATACACGGGGTCTCTACCGCTCCGAGGTACGTACCGAGACCGAGAAGCCCGTCTAGCCCGTGAGGTGCCCCGAACGCGGAGAAGCGTGTGCGACAGGACTTAAGGTCCAAAAAATATACAATACCTTAAGGCCTTGAAAAGAACATTTAAAGTAAACTCATCAACTAGTCCACTAATATTAGGATAGTTCATATAAGTCTTTTTGTCACCATGGATGAAGATTCTACCAGGTCTTCCCTAGGTCTACTCCCTACTCTACAGGCGGGTACTCTGTATCGGCCAGCAACTCCAGAGCCCAGCGTCTCCAATCTGGGGTAAAAAGCCAAGTCCAGGGTTGGTCGATTCGTGGCGAGACCCTGCAACGCTTCAATTGGAGAAACAGAGCACAGCGCAAGATCAACAGGAGCTGAAAATAGCTTATCTTGCATGAAGAATGACACAAGCGGCATTGTATACTTGGTCCTACTTGTTCAGGTCTAACTTACCCAAGTATGTATAATCAGCATCATATGAACGAAAACGAAATCATACATCATGGATTGGATGTCTGGTCGTTTACGACGCGAATACGCTCTTATCATTTCCCCAATTGTAAGCAAACAGTACTCAAATACAGAATGTCATACGCATCATCAATTCTTGGCCGTTGGCAGTGTCTATTGCAGCATGATCATCCAAAACATACAGTGAACTACAGCTGAGAACGCAAATTAGATGATCTCTTAGACCCCTTTTGACAGCCTTCACATGCTTTTCAGCAAGGATCATCGCTCATTAAAGTCGCAGTTCCCGCCACAAATCCGGCTGTCTGGCCAAATCTCTGCTTCTAACGACTCCCCATGACGCAACTATCCATCCATTATCTTATTAGCGGCCATTCACAGTTGATTGCCCTGTCACTTCCCATGATTAAACATTGCCGGCCTGTTTGATGAATTTGAAACAGATTTTCCCCTTCTTTCTAACCGTTACAGAAGAAAAGATTCGGTCTAGACAATCTTGACAGTTTCTTTCTCATCATCACGCCAGTCTCTTATACACCGCATAACAACCGAGACTCAAGTCAACGATCGGTCTGTCCGTTAAGTGGAATATTGGACGTACACCATCTGATCTATTCTCCTTATGATCCCACCCTCTTTTTATCCATCCTTGACCTGTTCTTGCATTGGCCATCTCCGTCCTGGATTTGTATCTCCATAATCCTTTATAATCCCCTGTCCGACATGCGAGTTGCTCCCTGAACAGTAGATCTCTCTTCCACGGCGCATCTCAAGGCCAGCAGTCGTTCAATCGCTCGACTAGGTACTTGTCCCGCACAGCCATAGCCATATTATCATCTGGTATCTACACATTCTTTACTGGCCGAGTCGGCCATCATAATCGACGATTGCATAGAAACCATGACACAACAGCAGCATGGCTCGTCAACTACGACACAGGAGCATCGTCCTAAAGTTGTTGGCAAGAAACTAGCCGAGACAGCCGTCCAATTCACACAACAAGCTGAGAAGCTCTCACACCAACATCCAACGGGCCAAGACCCCGGTGTTGCCATCGAAGCACAATTTGTCACGCCTCATGACCCTGTTATCATCACTTCAGATGGAAAACGACTCCCGGGTGTGCCACTGCAGGAGGCGCATAAGCTCAATGTCCTGAGGGAAGAGCTTCAAGGCGAGCCTGAGAGTGTCGAAATCAAAGCAGGAGACGAAACCAAAGAGAAGATATCCAATGTCGAGAACGCAAACCCCGAGCAAAAAAAGGTCGTTCAGTTGCCTTCAGAACAGAATGGCGCATCTCTGCAAAAGTCCAACAGCAACAGCACATTGCGAAAACAGACACCCCCTTCTCATACCAATCCTCTCTTCCCTCCACTGCCGCTATATGGGCCACCAAATATGCTACGCAATCTTCAATGCATGTTCTTTCGAATCAGCGCATTCTTTCTCAGCCTGGCATTTCTCGGAGTCATCGTCTTGGGCTCATTGTTTACGACGATACCCGTGATCTGGAAGAACATCTGGTACAGGCTGACTTTTCGCGATCCTGATTCTGACAGACCGTTTTATGAAGAGGAAAAGCGCAGAGCTCAAGCCAGACGCGAGCAAGAAAAGGCTTGGAAGCAAAAATCATCAAATGGACGAACACTAGACAGGATGGAAAATGCTGAGGAATTCCCTCCAACCGAAGGCGGACCAGACCCAATCATCTGTGACGTCGCATATTATGCGCGCAGAGTTGGTCTAGACGTTGAGACATTTGAGGTTCAAACCGAAGACGGTTTCATAATCGACTTATGGCATGTTTACGACCCTAAGGAGTATACCGAACTCGAGGAAAGCCTAAGGTCTGACCAGGGACCGGAAGTATTCCAACGCCAGAGGAAGAAGCTCAAAGACCCGTCACAGAAGCCAAAGTTCCCAGTGCTGCTCATGCATGGCCTCCTTCAAAGCTCGGGTGCTTATTGCTGTAATGATGACGACTCTCTCGCTTTCTGGCTGTGCAAGTCTGGCTATGACGTGTGGCTTGGCAACAACCGTTGTGGATTCAATCCTAAGCATGCATTGCTTGAGTACAACGACCCGAGGATGTGGTGCTGGAATATCAGACAGATGGGTGTTTTCGATCTTCCCGCGTTGACGTCGCGAGTCATTACAGAGACAGGGTTCGAAAAGATTGGACTTATCTGCCACTCCCAAGGCACAACTCAAACCTTTGTCGCCTTGGCCAAAGAACAGCGACCTGAGCTGGGCGAGAAGCTGACCGTATTCTGTGCCCTCGCCCCAGCCGCATATGCTGGGCCGTTGATCGGTAAAATGTACTTCAAGTTCATGCGAATCATTTCACCGGGTCTATTCCGTCTCATGTTTGGCATCCATGCATTCATCCCTTTCATGATGCAGATGCACAAACTGCTGGATCCCCGTCTATATGGCTGGCTTGGTTACAAAGTCTTCTCGTTTCTGTTTGACTGGACTGACGCCCGTTGGGATCGTGGCCTTCGCAATCGCATGTTCCAGTTTGCGCCTGTTTACGTCAGCGCAGAGTCTATGCGATGGTGGCTTGGCCGAGAGTGCTTTGCCAAGCACAAATGTATCTTGTCTACGAAAGAGATTGTTAGAGCTGAGGAGCACATGGATTCCAAGGGAGATGGACGTCCCGTGACACCAAGGACCTCGTCGGCGCTCGAAGCTCATCGGAAACATCCCAAGGGCTCTACCGCGTGGTACAACAAACAAGCACCACCTATGGCTATGTGGGTTTGTGGTAACGACGATCTTGTTGACGGAAGGAAACTGCTCCGGCGGTTTGAGAAGGGCCGCGAGCCTCATGTCAACCTGGTCCACAGCAAGGTGATCCCTGAATACGAACATCTGGATGTCATCTGGGCGATGGATGCGGTCGATCAGGTCTTCAAAGAAGTACGTGAAGTTCTATGGAAGACATGCAATGCACGCGATATTTGCCGTGTCCCTGAAGGTTGTGAGGCGGTGCTACCAGAAAAGGCGAAACTGTCTGTCAAAGAAGATATGGTAGAGGAGTGCCAATCGAGTAGTAGTGGCGAGACTTAGAAAGTGTTCGAAGAGAAATAACGATATACACGAGCCAATACACGTAGATGAAAGACGGACGTGGATATACATGGAACGCAAAAGGATATACGGATTGGAGCATATATGGATTGATATCATGTTACGGATACCTCTGCTTGGCTTTGTAAACACGAGCTGATTTTCACTACCTACCTATGGGGCAATGGTGTTATTTGGACGGCGTTGAGGTTGGTCATGTTGTATTGAATATCGAGGCAACGAATTTAGACATATTATTTTAATCATTAAGTCAACATGATATCTTGAACTTTATCCTACCTGCACCAACTGCACTGCTTTGTGGCAAGTCTGTATTAACCAAGAGTTGAGATCACGGCAAAGGAGAGAGCATCGTAGGACGTGGCAGGTGTTTAAATTATCTTGTTCACTAGTCGTATGTTCTACAATGCATCACCTTTCTTAGGTGGATGTCACGCTCTTTGTCTTCAATAGCACAAAACCATGGTGCAGAACTCATGGTTGATACTCAATACACCCATACTTAACCCATGCGCTCAGCCTCCTCCAGCAGCTTCTCAACGCTGAATCTCGAGTCGCCAGCTGCGAACCAGTTCAGCAGCTTCTTTCGCTCCTCAGCCCTATCCTTACGCTCACCAGTCAGCTCGACTTCCTCACCATCCCAGCCACCATAGAATCGCTGAAGGGACATGAGTAGCCACTTGGCGTTCTCTGGTGTAACACCTCGGTCAGGCAGGACCTGGCCCTGCATCAAAACCAGACCTCGCTCATCGGCGAGGTCGAGGTGGTGTGTGATTGTAGTGTGAGGCTGCGCAAACTCGCCTCGGTTCTTGTATTCAGCAAGCTGGGTGAACAGAACAGTGCTAGTTTTGGACGCGGCATCAAAGGTCCACTGCAGGAAGTGAATCTCTGCGCCTTGGGCGGGATGAGGCACCGGGAGGACGAATTGAGGGGCTGCTCGTGCAGCGTCCTCCATGGCCTTGTATGTAGACATCGGGATTACAGCACAGAGGTTCTGCTCCGATGAGGCATGTCGTAGACGCCAGATAGCTGTAAGCTCCTTCTCTGGAAGCTCCCGTGCCTTGGGGAGGTCAATGATGTCATTTAGAGTCTTAATAGCAGGCTTATCGGAGCCGGGTGGAGGATATTGAGGAGGATTGGTAGGAGGATCGCGAGGGTCTCTGGTGGGTTCGTCTTGCCCAGGAGGGTCGTCGGCGTTGGGTTGAACAACTGGTGTTTCGGGTGCTTGAGGAATTGTTCCAACTGGAATCTCAATGCCACTCTTTCGACGCTCAGCATCAATTTTGTCAGCGTAAGCTGCCTTGAGCTGGTCGATGCTCTGGAGACCCTCTTTTTGAGCCTTTTGGTTCAGCTTCTCTTTGTACTTCTCGACGACGGCTTGCGAAGGTTGGGTTGTTGCGAGGAACCGAATATCGTGAACTTGAGCCCATCGTCGCTGGTTGATAGCTCGGGTGGTGCGTATGGGAGCGGCTACAAGCCGGCGAAGGGCAGGAATTCGTAGTGAGGCCATGCTGGAGGTCAATTGAGTCGACAAGCCACCTGTGGACGTGTCGGGCTCAGCTGTGTTGATGTGTTTTGAAGGTCGATGACGGAGAAAGAAATACAGGGGCCGGCCACCAAAATTCGCTGTCGTCACTCAACCCAAGAAATACTGTAGTGGGGCCGTGGCTGCGAAATGACGGGACATCTCCGTTTGAGGTTGATGGCCGGCTTCGGAGTTTGACATGATGACAAAGAGGGTTCAGCAATTGGACCAATCTGATAAGACTGATATCAAAAACCTCGAAATACAATATACTAAAGGATCCGGGTCATATTTCACAACGTCTCTCATAATATCTTCTCACTTTTGACATCACTCTGCAGAAAACTAACTACAGTGCTCAACTACCCCGCCATACAATTTCACCGCTTTTGGTGGGCTTCAACTTTCTGCCGCTTCACTATCGCAAACTCGAGGGGCAAAGTTGCAGGTTGCTCTTTATAAGTTGTTTGGAATAGGCCGAATAGTTGGCTTTGTGCATCCAAGAAGACAATCGAAAGGCTTGTGCCGCCTCACACTGTCTTATCATGGCGGACTTTAGGCAATGGGCTCTTGAATTTGTTCTGGCCAACAATGAGGGGCAACAGACAGCGATAGCCAAGAAGGCTGCCAATGGTACTTTAGTCCGTCCCTGCTAAATGAATATGTTCTGACTTTGACCAGAGATTCAAACTTCAGCCGCCAATACAAACCCTGTAGCTCGATGGGTCGAGGCTGTGCAGCCTTGGATGCCCGGTGGTGGTAACGAGTCCGAGAATGAGACACCAGATTGGACGGCGAGGGCAAAGGGTGAGTCTCGGCTCATACATCGTGGCATTGATCATGTCTAACTGTCGTAGCGCTCGAGTTTCTATCACGGACGTTGGATTTTCTAAGCAATGATATTCTAAAACCCAGCCAAGGTAAGCTCATGTACAAAACATGACTACAATTTTGTCTAACAATTAACCAGTGAAACTATTGGTCAGCTTCTTCGGAGCCATGTTTGAGGTCGATCATAAAGCTGGAATTATGCCCTCCGCAAGTGCGCTATCTAGGATAGTCGCCATGAAGTCCTTCCAACGGCACATGGGACACGACATTCTCCAGAAAGTGTGCTCTCTCAAGGATGACTTCCCACGTCAAGTGTCCAAGACCAGACTCGAAATCTACGAGCTCATACGACTACTCATGATAACTCCTGGTGTCGCAAGTGACTTACAGAACACACATGGCTCGTCTGCTGGCTTTATGCTCGACTTGATTCAACTGTGCAGAAGTGAACGAGACCCCGAGTGTTTGATGGTGTGGTTTGATATCTTGAGATTGTTCATGTCTGAGTACACAGTCTCTCAAGACGTGCTGGAAGAGGTGTATGGTGTTTTCAAGCCATACTTTCCCATCTCACTCCCTCGAGCATCTCAAGTTGCAATCACCCCTGAAGAGCTGAAGCTAGCACTACGAAAGTGCTTTTCGGCAAACCACTTATTAGCTGATAAGGTCTTTCCATTCCTCTTGGGCAAACTGGACCAGGGGGATGCTGTGACGGTCAATGTCAAGGTTGGTGGAACCCATTCTTTGATTCTTGAAAGGGAGAAGTTAAGCTGACCGAAACTAGCTCGATATCCTCAAGACCATGCAAGCCTGTCTTGATGAGTACAGCCATCCTCAGAAAGCAATTGCCCCCTATGCCAACCAAATATGGGGCAGCTTGAAGTATGAGGTTCGAAATGGAGAAATTGAAGATACCATCTGGGGCACATTGGAAGTTCTCAAGTCTCTCACCCGACGACTCGCTGGGGATAGCCTTCGCGACTACACATTATCAGTTACCCGAGACTGCGTACCAGATCTTGCGACAACTATGTATGCTTCACCTGCTGGCCGACTCATGGTCAGTGTCTTAAGCTCCAAGCCTAGTGCTTTTGTCTTAATGGCTGCGCCCGTCATTACACATATCAAAGAGAACTTGCGACATCCAAAGGCACCTGTTCACACCCAGGACCTTCTAAAAGTCTTGCATGTCATTCTAGAAACTCGTTTCCTACTAGTTGACACAAATATGACCGCTGAGGACCGGGAGGATTTTGCTGCCATCGACGGTTTCTTCAAGTCTCTTTATGAAGATGTCTTCAAGAACCCTGTCAACCTTGGCTCTAAACCGGATGCCTCTTATGATGATATCAAGGTTGCTACGCAAGCCGTCGCGGGAGCTGGAGTTCTGGTTTGCCAACGGCCCTCCAAGTCATTGGATCTCTCAAACAATGCTGCTAGCGACATTTCTCAGCGATTACTTCCCGAGTCAACTTGCTCAGAAATCTGCTCATCTCTGTTTGCCATTCTCAAGAAGTCGGGTCCCGGGTACCCTCGATCTTCTGGGGGTGATGAACTCATTAACGATGCTGCCCAGGCTCTCCAACGGGCTATTCGATACTTCCCTCGCGGCTTCAATGGTCTTGTGGATGAGAGTTTGAGTATCATTCGCTCCAGTCGACAAAATGGCAATGTTCCTGATACGGTTGAGACGATCAAGACTCTTGGAGGTTTGGTTGCATACCTGGGCTCCTCGGAACTACCCTTCACACCACGAGACGGTTTCGATCACTTCATTTACTCTATTCGCGCATTCCTATCAGAACTCTTTGACTCGCTGGAGTCCAAGTCGGATCCTGAAATTTGGTGTGCCCTGGTTGCTACAATCCAATCCACTATTCGATACTTCAACGACGCCTGCTTGGCAAAGAATTCCGACAATGAATTCTCCATCGAAGACGAGCCCTTACAAAAGATCGGCTCTGCATACCCTGCCCTGAGTCTGCTTGGTGGGGAGACAGCAGCTGGGTCTTCTCCTGAATATCATAGCCGAGTTTCTCAGTCAGCCTCTGTGACCGAGATAAGAAGCGAGTTCTTACTCGTTACCCTTTTCATTGCTAGGCAACTCTATCGCAGAGCGACCAAGGTAATTGAAACACATCCTCAGACAGGCAAACAAGCTCTGAGTTTGAGCGATGATTTCGCCAATGTCGACGAAGTCTCTGGACACCAGTACCTTCATCTTATTTCCACTCTTGCAGGCTTTGTCATCCACGAGTTCAGTGAAACTCAACAAACATCACTCAAGGCTGAGAGTTTTGCCATTAGCCTCTTCCGTGATGAATCGATTACGGTTCCCAAGACGGCGCCGGAAGCTCAGTCGAGTCTGGAGAATGGCTCATCTTGGAGTTGGTTAGCTTCCGAAGCGCCCAATGTTCTAGCTTTTGGTATACTGCAAGCTTTGCAACCATCAGCAGTATCTCGCCTGGTAAGGTCCCTTCCATCATAACTCATATTCTTTATTGCTAACTCAATTGTAGTTTGACATTGGGGTTGCCCAAGAGTTAATTCTTAGCGGGTTCGCAGCAGACACAAACTTCAGCAGACCAGTGACCCTTTCCCTCTTGACTATTCTAGCAAACAA